CCTACAGTTGAACAATTCTGCTTCAGTCTTGAGTAGGACCCATTTTCCTTGACTTTCTCACGTAGAGCATGGAATAAATCTCACTGTTTTTTAGAAAAAAAAAAAAAAAACGTGGAAAGAATCAGAACCACTCAAGGTCTGTGCAAATGAATTCATTTCCAAAAGAAAATAATGATGAAAATGAAGAGGTCACTCAGTATTGAAGAGACAGTTTATGTTATTGGGATACTTAATTTTATTAAAGTTTTTAGGATTATATAATATTTCAGATTAGATGAGTCTGGTTTATAACATAATTAAATATACGTAGTCAAATGTGATACATAAAACACCTAAGCATCTTTAATAAGTCACAATGCTGGCCTGATCTCATCAAAATTGAAATGAATTTTTTGAAGATTGAACTAGGGGTATGGAGGGGAAGAAGAAAAGTATTATTGCTGCATATTATAGTCAGAAAATGTAGCCAGTAGCTCTTGTAAAACCAAAATGGAACAATGTAAGTTAATGAAAACAATTATGAGGCAGCCACAGTGTCTGAAGACCCACAAATCCACGCTTGGGTAGCAATACATAATTTTTGCTGCAGCAGAAAACTGAAATGGAAGAAAATATCAGCATAATAGAAGTAATTATAGGACTGGATTTATAGCTTTTCCTGGTCCTTAGTATATTAAAATGCTGCCAAAGTAATACCTAGCACTTTCTCTGAAAATGAAAGTTGTATTGGAAGTGTCTTAATATGAGCTAAAAATACCATGTTACAAGAAAAAAAAAAAATTTAAATCAAAAGAGCCAAATCTCACCATGGAAGAAAACCTGTTAGCCGGCCAATGCAAGAAGCTGGGATAGACTAAGCTATATTAAAGGACTATATCCACTCAAATTTGACAGACCGTGTGCTCAAATGACTATGCATATTACTGTCATGAAAATTTTGAAATCATACTTCTTAATCATATTTGTATGGTAAGGATATAAATTAATCACACATTTGGATATATTGTCAGATGCTCAGATTCTAGCTGAGGCAGCAAAATAGACTTTGTGACTACACCTTTGAGGCTCCCTCTGCCTTCTGGTCACAAATCTGTTGCATGCCTCATCCCCAGGTGCAAGCCAAAGCAGACCAACAGATATTTTAAATTGTGTTAACAGGCCTCTGGGGCCATCTCAGCTTTTAGAAAAAATAAAGTTGCTTGCAAAGAAGTTCTGACCTCATTTCTTTTTCCCATCATGCTTCTTGTCACATTATAGCAAACTGATGCCAGCCAACTTTGTTCTAGCCTTGGGCGATGTGGCCTCAAAATGCCACCATTTCAGCTTGTAAAATTTTTCCCTTTATTTCTTTTAATGTTTTTAAAAACTAAGCAAAACAAAACCCCCCTCACAACCCCCCTCAAAGCACTATCATTATTTCCTAAGGGCCGAACTAAAAGAAAAAGTTATTAAAGCAAAGTACCAGCAAAACAGCATTAAAACTACATTTGATTATATTCTTGACCCTTACACCAGAGGAAATCAGTAGTAACACTTACGAAGTCAGAGTATTCACAGTGCTGCAAAAATTGTCTAGAATGCAGATCTGGTCTCCACACTTACAGTGAAAAGAAACTGAACATCCTTCTCAAAATTAACACTCCCTTAGCATAACTGTTGCAATACCATAAAACCAAGGACTCATTTTGAATTCCTTCTACTACCTTTGGAGTCTATGTAAATGGACTCCTTAGTATCAATATGGCCATAATGAAAGAAACCAGCATGGGAAAAAAACCCAATCAGATTTGCATAAAGCTTGTGAGAATTTATAAGGTGAAGATAGGAAGTTCTACATGACAAATTCATTTGCAAAACCAGGATGGAGACCTTCCTAGAACCAGGGGAGATAATAACATGCTACATTTCGTTTATCTTTGACAACATGCATCTCTGTGGTTGTCATTATCAGAGGATCATAAAGTCTAATCAAAATAAGAATATATACCTCCGGGAGCAGAAAGAGATAAAAACAATCAAAAGCAATACTGAAACATCAGTGACATCCTAATGAAGGTGGTGAGACTGTATCTTACAAAGAAAAATCCAAACCCACCAAAACCTTTTCATTTCTCTTTTTAATCCAGATATTTATGTAGCTGTCAACTTTCAGCATATTGTATCATCATGTTGTATCATCATGGAATCATGGTCAAACAGCTTTACTACATTTCTACCTCTGATTAATTTCTGCAGATGTGATATCACATGGATTTAGAAATACATCCACAGGAATACATAACTGACTGTTGGCAGCTTATATATGAGTCTGGGAAGCATCCAAATTAAAACTTCTTCAATGACAGTCAAGACAATTTATTTAGTCCACCACATGCTGGATCAGAACGTCTTTCATAAGACACTTAAATATAAATCAAGGAGAGTTAAGTCAATATAAAAGGTCAGAAAACACTAGATCTGGGAGGCTGCAACTTCCTTGTGGGTGTAGATGACAACTAGAGCACACTCCATCTGAGAGTTAAGAGGAAGGATGAAATGGAAGAAATATAGAAATCAGCAAAAGAGACAACAGATCTGAAGCAAGAGAAAAACAAAAACTTGAAAACGAAGAGGACACCTTTAATTGGTCTTGGTAGCAGATAGTAAGCAGGTGAAAAGATTGAATGTCTCAGGACAGATATACACACATCATTCTGACTTGTAAAATTTCAATCAGGGATTTTTGAAAAGCTAAACAAGGAGTAAGCAGTTCTACTAACTTTAAGTTATTGCTTAAATTTGACAGATATGCAAGGAGAGATAAGAATGAAGTTCAAACCATTTGTGTACTTTTCTGAAAGTACAATCTTCAGGATTTTCATCCAATTCTTCTAATGCATCAAGTCCATATTAACACGTTTTTTTTTGCACAGAAAAATGCCAAATTGCCTGTTG